AGAGTATAGTGGAAAATTTGTCTGGAAGAAAACATTTGCGTGTAGCAGCATCAAAAGCCTTTGTTCAGAGTGCCAGGTATGTTTTATTTTGAGAGAAGGTTAATGTAAAACAGACCTAAAATTTGGTTGACAGATTTGGGGATCAACATATTCTCTCCCAAGACTGATAAAAATCAAAATAGTTGTGGATTGAAATGCTTAACAAAGGATTTGACGGATTTTTTACAGTTTAGGAAACTTATCAAGTGCCGTGTCTTCAGCGTAGCTCATCTTGCTGTGTCATAGGATCACAGAAAAGCCTGGTTGGAAAGGACCTCAGAAGGTCTATAGTCCAAACTCCTGCTCAAAGAGGGCCAGCCCAGGCCTTTATCTGATCTGGTCTTGAAAACCTCCAGCAATGGACACTGCATAAGCTCTGTGAGTGCCCTGCTCCACTGCTGAGCTGCACTCATGGGAGGGAGGTTTCTGCTCATCACCACTCTGAACCTTTCTTATTTCAACTTACGCCCCTTCCTGCGTGTCCTGCCAGACACGATGGAAAGCCTGGCTGCTGCTTCTCAGTAACTTTGTTAGATTATTAAGAAACTTCTCCTCGTTAGGTCTCCAAAGCCAGCTCTCTTCCACGCTGAACTAGCCCTGTACTCTCGGCCTCTTCTCGCGCGGCGAGTGCTCCAGTCCCTGGATCACTGAGCTCGTTGCAGTTCGTTCATGTCTGGCGTGTGTCCAGTGGCCTAGACCTGGATCAGTAGCCTGGTTGTGGTCAGAAGAGTGCTGACTAGAGGGAGGTAATCCGTTCCCTCAATCTATTGTCTGTTCCTGTTGATGCAGCCCAGAATGCTCTTGGCCATTGTTGCCAGAGCACACTGCTGGCTGGTTTTCAGCTTGCTGTCCACCAAGACCCACCATGTCCTTCTCAGCAGAGCTACTGCTCAGCCTCTGCTGTTGCAGAGCATCATATTGTGAACTGTATGTCATGAACTCAAAGTGGAAATATTACTTTGAATAATGAATAGGCAGGAGAATTTGATACATGGATGATACTTGTCTTTGGTATGAATTCTTTGCTATTTGGAAGAAATAAATTAATGAGCACAGGTAGGCAAGTAGAGCTCTTAGGTGATGAACATGTGATGGCTAATGTGAGGCTGTTGACATTGTAACACTTTCTTCCTTCCATTGATCATTGCAAAGAGAGTGATGAATGAAGTTAGACTAGTCAGTGTAACAGAGCTCTAAGGTGATGTCATGTTGCAGATGAATCTGTATTTTTTTAAATTTATGTGTTATGACAAGCACTTTTTCAGGAAGGACTGAGCATATGTATATAGCTCAGCACATTCCAAAAGGGAGACAAAAAGTGGTGAGCAAAAACTAGGCCTTAGTAAGTCCAGTGTTAAGATATGTGAGCATACGCACTCTAAAAATCATGAAACTGTGGAAGAAAATTACAAAGATGGCCAGATTCTAAAACTACTTTTTTGAAAACAGTAAAACTATTCAATAGGTGATTTTTTAATATCAATCCATAATTTTTAGCTAAATTCTAAAGCTTTTACTCACTCATATGTGTACTGTGTTGTATCACAATCTGGAGAATTATTGCATTTCATTAATTCAAAGTAACATTTGCATGGAATATGCTCAAAACAATTTGGATCCAGCTAGAGGCATCTGAGGTATATTCTTGTGTTACAGTAGTACTGTACTATGAAAAATCCATAGCATTTTAAAAATAGTTTTGTTCTATTTCTTGTTGTTTTCAGAATGAGAAATTAACATAATAGGAAGTCAGAAAAGTAGATTATTCTAGTGAGAACATTGCGAGTAGATTTCTACTATTTTTTTAATGAAGGCTGATGAGCTAAGATCACATAGAAGTACAGTAAAATCATCAGTATGGTAGTTTATTGCTGCTTCTGCTGAATGTGTGAATGTGTTTTGTATATAAAAATGGAAAATATGTTTTGTATGAAGCTCATATGCTTACCCCTCATTGCTGAGATTATATATGGTGTTGCCTAGATCAGGTAAACTCAGATGTTTGTAGAAATAAAATCCTTTATTTTGGGTAGAGTGTGATTGTTTTCCGTCATTAAACTGTACTTTCTTCAGGTACGCAGGTGAAGCCGGAAATTATTCCCTTGTAATGTGTGCGGCTAGACATTTTTGGAATACATGTTTACCTTTGCTAGGTTCTCCAGATGACAGAGAGCAGTTTAAAGAACCTATTGAAATAATTCTTAAGAGTATAATTAAAGCAGAATCTAAAATTAAACAGGTAAGAATATCTAGTAAGTATTGTTAGTTGTGCTCATGTTTAGTGGTTGGTACTGATGGTAAATAGACACTTTGTTTTGGTCTGAAGCTCTGGGTGCGTACTTCAAGATACCTTTTGTAAGAGGGAAAAGTGATGTGTCACTTTATATGTGTCATAAACACATATATAGTTTCTTACCTGCATGCATGCAGCACACATTCACACATACGAGGAATCATACACTCTTTTTTTCCATTTGGTAGTTCTTCTGCTTTTAGGCAATTGTCAGACTTGCAACAGTTTTCTTCAAAATGATTTGCTGTCTGAAGGGCTGTAGTGTTTCTTTTTGTGAAGCTTACAAAAGGAAACGTTTAGAAAACATTCAAAAGAAAATCCAGAAAAAAATCTTTCACTTCTGGAAGGGATGATAATAGATCTAAAAACACAAACTCAGGAAAAACAATGTAACTAAATTAAGCTTCCCCACACCTGCAGATTCAAATTTCTCTTCTCCTTTCAAAAAATAATTTTTACTTTGCATATCTTAGAATCATAGAATGGTTTGGGTTGGAAGGGACCTCAAAGCTCATCCAGTTCCAACCCCCCTGCCATGGGCAGGGACACCCTCCACTACACCAGGTTGCCCAAAGCCCCATCCAACCTGGCCTTGAACACTTCCAGGGATGGGGCAGCCACAGCTTCTCTGGGCAACCTGTGCCAGTGCCTCACCACCCTCAGAGGGAAGAATTTCTTCCTTATATCTAATTGAAATCTCCCCTCTTTCAGTTTAAAGCCATTGCCCCTTGTCTTATCACTACATGCCCTTACAAGAAGCCCCTCTCCAGCTTTCTTGTAGCCCCTTCAGGTACTGGAAAGCTGGTACAGGGTCTCCCCGGAGCCTTCTCTTCTCCAGGCTGAACAACCCCAACTCTCTCAGCCTGTATCTTCAATTTTTTAACAGACTATTTAGCACTTTGGCGGTAGGAAGGAGTTATAATTCAAACTGTGCTGGGAATCAGTGATAAATACTTGTTCATTATGAACAGCATGTGTAAACTGAAGAAGTCATCCCTTTGAAATAATATGTAGATGACGTCTGTCATATAACACATCTCCCCATATGAAATTTTTTGTGCACACTGAAACATCCCTACATGTTTACAACTTTTCTTACTTCAAAATTCCCTGCAGCTGATCCATTTATCTTTCTATATTTGATTTACATGTCAGTGAAGCTGAAATTTCCTGCACATTTCCATGGGCACAATTTCAATTAGAGCTTGAAGGGTTTATTAATAACTCTTGCATTCAAGCTCAGTGGTACCAATATGAGTCTGCACCTTAGATCATCCAGCAATGTAGTATAAAAATAGAAAACTTAATTTCTCCTCAAGCCCTGTGTAAATCACAAATAATCAGAGATGCTGACTGGTCTGCGTGATGCTGGGTGTGTGGGAGACAACTGATGAGTACACTGTGTGCTTGAAAGCACAGTGAGGATTGTAAGTTTAATAGAATTTTGACGGTGTTTGGATATATAACAGTAATTGCCCATAGGAACAGTTCTAAAGGTTTACTTATGTGCAGAGATGTTATATATCAAACCAATAAAAAGGAATGTCCCTTCCAACCCTAACCATTCTATGATTCTATGTATCGCTACCACAGCATATTTTCAGAGTGAACCCTTAAGTTTTATTAAAAAGCAAGACATTAATGTAGATAATGAAAATATACAGTTATAGGTAGCATAGATATTTATGTCTGAAACTGGTTTTGAAACTTGTATTTGACCAGAGAGGCTGTGGAGTCTCTGCTCGAAGTACTCAAAAGATGACTGAACGAGGCCCAGAGCAACCTGCTCTACTTCAGCCTGCTTTAAGCAGGGGTGTAGGCTGGAGAGCTGCAGAGAGTCCCTGCAACCTCAGCTTTCTGAGCTCCTCCGACAGGGTGCTTCAGGATTTCGTGTTATTTAATCAGTGTAACTGACAGAATATTACTGAGACTGGTTATTGCTGTACTGGTTTTGTATTACAGAACTCATTCTAGAGAAATCGGTGTGGTTTTCATCTCCTGCACAAGTAGCTATTTGAGTAACAGGTTCATATTAGTTCATATTCACCAGATTAGTTGGTTTACAAATGAAACAGAAGTACAGTAATACTTAAAGACATACGTTAATCGAAAGATAAAGGGCTTTTTTCCTTCTTTTTTTTTTGGTGTTTTTAGGAGAAGAAAGACATGTTGTTGCCTTTGCATCAGTGGGTTACAAAGGATTTTCAAAGTATTGGGTTATCAGTTGGATGCTTTCTCCCAGGCATGTTCTTCCTTGTATTGATCTGGTAATAAAAATAAAGCCAGTATTTTGTAGTATCATTATTCTGATTCTGCAGTATGTTAAGAAATCATTTAAATATACTTCAAAGGTGCTGAGGATGATCTGACATTAAGAACCTCCTTATATGGGTTATTATTCCACATACATGCTGATAAAGCTGATTGGGAGACAGCACTAAAAGTCCTGGATGAAGCTATTCAAGTTTTGCCTCAGACAAGACACAGACTGTAAGTTGATGGACTTATTTTTAATACAATAACTATCCTGATTCTTGAGAAGTATAAAACTCTGAGTATTTATTTTGCCTTGGGAAAATACTATGATTAGTTTTTGTCAGCCTGTCAGTTTTTACAACAGAAAACACTGTTGTGTGTTTTATATAAAAAAGAAATACGTTGGCAGTCCTTGTTATAATTAATCTGTTCATAGTATTTGTAAATTTCATTTTTTAAAAACTAGTATATAAGTAGTATCTTACTTTTCCAAGAAAATAAGTGCGTGAAATGTGGCTATATAGCAGAAACTTTAATTTTCCTAGCTGTAAACCCGTTTATGTTAAATTGAAACTAATTATCCAGGGTGCTGTTTACATAGTCTTATCCTAGTTCAAAGATTTATGCCCTTGTGTGTCAGTTTGTGAACTTCACATCTCTCTGCTGTACTGATGCGAACTAGAATATCTATCCTACTCACAAAGTTACTTTACAAGTACAGAGGCAAGTAATTTGCAATTTTTTTGGTCTTTTTTCTAGCCTGATTTTTAAACATATGGCTACAGCGAAGGCAGGATTGGGATGCAATTTTATGATGGACATTCAGAAATTCAGAGGTGAAAGTGAAGATTATTTGTCGTATATGTGGCGTCATTTGGTAACAGTCTCCAGAAGTGTTGTTGGACAGTTAAGCTCTTTTCAAAATGCAATCATTACTTTACAGGTTTGTCAGTTTTTACTCTATGTTCAAATGCTGATAGAATGATGTTCCTCAAGTGATTCAGGGGATTGCAAATTCTGCGAAGCGTAAAATTGAACTGGTAGGAAGGCCATATACTTGACCATTACTTTTTATAACTTTGAAATTGCTCTTCGGTTGGAAAACTGTGAATGGCTGTATCGTGGTATCTGGTTAAAGTTCAGCTGAGTCCTGTCAAAGAAAAGTGTCAAAGAGTAGCTAGCCAATTGCAAGAAGTTTTGGTAAAGCAAAGAATTAACCGGTAGAGTTTTGTGTGACATTCCTTTCAGCGTAACTGATTATGTTATGCCAATAAAACTGCTCACTATCAAATTGCTGTTTTTTGCTTCTGTTAAGACTATATTGAACTTTTGAATATCGTTTCAGTAGTTTACATCACCAAATATATATGAACTCTTCCTTTATTACTTTTATAGAAACAAGAAAATGAATGGCAGAATGTTGATTATCTGATGGAATTTGCTGAATGGTTATATTGTAACCAGTTTCCCCTCAATGATGCTATTAAACCTCTGGACTGGGTGGTAGATCTCTTGCTACATATGAAATTTCCTATGCAGTCGTCACAAGGAGAAGGTATGTAAGAGGTGTATATCCTTCAGAGGAATTTCTCAGCAGCAAATGCAAGGGATGTTTTTCACAAAGAATGGCACCAGCTTGGATGTACTTTCTCCAATAGTCACTGTAATTTGTTCAGCGCTAGCTTAAATCTGTCTATGAATTCTGTGTCGTGCCATGGAGACTAATCCTCAGTCTTTTGGTATAATAAGATACAGCTCCTGTCTGACGTTCCTGAGTTGTGAGATGCTATCAGAAGGCAGTGCTAGACAGTTTGTTTCAAATGCATCCTCATGAAGGGCCAGATGTAACTGTAGGAAATGGCTTGTGTGCCAAGATTTGAGTACCTATGTCCATTGCCCTTTCCTTGGCTTTATCTGATATTGTAGAATTGATTTTTCAAAAATGACTTTCAAAGGGATGTACGCTTTCAAGTACTTACGTACATATGTAAAAATTCTTTGGTCCTTTTACTTTGTGTCCACTTGCAGTGGTATGGACTCAGTCCTATTTTGATAGGATACAGCTTTATTTAGTTGGAAAAAAACATATCTAATTTCTGGAACAATACTGTTCTGTCTGGTATTCATCAACATCTCTCTGCTCCTATTTTCGTGTGGATAGATGAGATAGATCAGATGAGTACTTTTGGTGTTTGCACTGGAAAAGATAAACATTTGATCAAAGTCACAGTAGCAATATTCTGTTCATACTTTTCTGTTAGTGGTTTTGTGGGGGTTTTTTACAGCCCTATGGCAATTTAAAGTTTGTAGTTGTTCCTCAATGATCTTCCCGCCCAGTTTCACTTGGTTGCTTATGATTTCTGGACTTGCTACACCACTTATGTTTCAAGAAATTTTTTTCAAAACTTTTAATGGAAACTGAAATAATATAGAAAGCAAAATTAAATTAAAATATAAAACAGTCCAGGTTGTAAGGGACCTCAAAAGATCATCTGGTCCAACCTTTCGTGGAAATGGGAGCCTAGATGAGATTATTTAGCATGTTGTCTAGCTATGTCTTGATAACCTCCAGTGATGGGGACTTCACCACGTCCTTAGGGAGGTTGTTCCACTTGTAGATTGTTCTCACTGTAGAAAATTCTATCTTATATCAAGATGAAACCTGTCCTGGTGCAACTTGTACCTGCTGCCCCTTGTCCCCTCCATATAGCTTCTTGTGAAGAGAGATCCTCTGTCCTCTTTGTGGCAGCCCTTTGAGTACTAGAAAACTGTCATGAGGTCCCCGAGCCTTCTCTTCTCCACGGTGAAAAGACTTTAACCCCTTAAGACCTTCTTTACAGTGAAGGTTCTTCAGCCTTCTAATCATCTTCGTGGTCCTCCTTTGAACCTTCTCTGGTCTGCCCGTGTCTTTTTTAATTTGTGGGGACCAGAAATGGATGCTACTCCAGCTCTGGCCTTAACAAGCCCTGAGTGCAATAGATGGGATGGTCGTATCTCTGTCTCTGCTAGTGATAACCTGCTGATGCAGCCCATGATCAGACTTGTCTTCATTGCTGCAGCAGCACACTGCTGACTCATGTTCAGCTTGTTGTCCATCAGAACCCAAGTCCCTTTTGGTAAGGCTGCTCCCCAGCTACACAGATCCTAGTCTGTACTGGGCTCTTGGGTTATGTTGTCCCAGGTGCAGGACCTTGCACTTGTCTTTGTTAAAAGTCATACGCCTCTTTCTAGCCCACTTTTCCAGCCTCTCCTGGTCTCTCTGTAAGAAGACTTTCTCTTCTGACGTGTCCACCTCACCATCCAGTTTGGTGTCCTCAGCAAACTTCGTGAAGGTGCTTTCAGTCCCATCATGCGGATGGTTTGTGAAGATGTTGAACAGCATGGGTGCTGATCCCTGGGGGACCCCACTTGTGACAGGCTGGCAGCCTGAGCAAAAACCACTCATCACCACCTGAGTGCAGCCTCTTAGCTGGTTTCCTGCTCATCTCACAGACCACCTGTCCTGTTTGTATCTTTTATTATGAAAGAATAAAATTAATCTATTGAACTGTCCCTTTCCCTGACTTTATACTGTGTTAGTCATGCTCAGAATTCACTCAAGTTGCCTCAATTTCTGTGTCAGACTTACATCATTTTATATATGTAACTGTTACATTATTCATTGGAAACACGGTACAAGTAGCATTACATCACTGTAAGAAGAACATCTTCAGTAGATGGATTTCCTTTTTTTTTCCATAAATATTTTGATTTTTAATTCAGAAATTTTAACTTTTGAATACATTTTTAAAATACTGTCACTGCGAGTGTGTTATTTGTTAAACAGAAAAAATTCTATACCAAAATTTTTGCCTACAGAAAATTTGGAAATAGACATTGGAGCAGACGATACCATGCCTCGAAATAATTTGGAAGATTTGAGTAATATTAAACAATTGGAAGCTTTGTTTAGAGCACAGACATTATTGGCTGTGATTTCTGGTCATAGTTCTCCTTTTCATCAGCAGCACTGTTTGCTGGCGTATGCTTGTATCATCCGCATCTGGCAGGTGAGATTGAATGAGATTATATTGTATTATAACATGGCCAGTATATTTCAGTTTATCTGTGTTGTGTAATTATAATGCCAGCTATTCATCTGATGTTTTAACTACGTATTTAGAATGTCTAGTTTTATGATATAGTTAGTGTATTTTCTCAGGTTTAAGGATTAAACAAGAAAATTATTCCTCTCGGGAAAATAAAGAGACATTAAGGATAAAAGCAGTGCCCCATTGTTTCTCTGGAGTACGTTCATACATTTTGTGCAAAAGGTTCTAAATTTTTTTATTTTTAATTTGTTAAAGAATCTTAGTAGTGGCAGAATACATGCTGAAGGCATTGCTGAACAGTTCTGAGGAACAGTAATTACAGATGGACCTTCACTTAGGTTGAATCAAAAGGGCGGTCATATGACTGAAAGGAATTGTGTGACATGGTTAAATTAAGTTCAGGTGTTGATTTGTTTATTAAGTATTGTGAAAAAAGTAAAGACAAGCATATTATTCTCTAATCACTTTTTCATTGTTACAGCATTTCAAATCAAACAAATTATTTCATGTCTCATTGGTATGCCTAATTTAAATGGCTATTGAGAATCATAGCAAAAATCATAGGAAAACAATTATATATTAAATATGAATAAAGCTTTGAAGGGACTAAATCTATACTTGATACTAGTATTGCCACAAATCATTATAGAAACAATCTTAGTGTTATATAAATGAAATATATCAACTAGATCAGAAAACTATAGCTTGTGCATAATTTGATTCCAGTTAGCTCTAAAAGCCTGCAATTTGTTGCTCCTGTGGTAATTATGATGAAGTTTTCATTGTGAAATCAGTTTAGATTCTAACATTTGATGGAAGACAGGAATTTGAAAAATAAAAATTGAATATTGATATTTTCAGATTTTGCATAAGTATAATTTTTAATATCCTGAACTTGACTGTCTGAGTGTCTTACTAGAGAAAAAATATCTAAAAGGAGCATTACTGTTTGAATAGGGTATTAAAAATTTAAAAATCAGGAGTTAAGGCAGCTGTCAGTGGCAGTTGTAGAACAATGACAGTAATTCTAAGAACTCGTATTTACAACTGAACGATACTGTGAGGAAAAGAGTAACGATGTGGCATTAAGGAATGAAAGTACTATAGGGCAGCTCAGCCTGGGTTTGGAGCACAAAGTAAAGCAGACTTGACTGCAGATGCCCACTTCTAAAGCAGGCTTTCAAGTGTTAGGACTCCATAAATAACTCAGTAGAAGTACGAATATGTTCTCTGAAAACATCAATAATCCAAGTCAAATCAGCTGTCTCTGACTTTTTTAAAGACATGTTACCTTTAGTTTGAAATTTTCACAAGTTATGCAGCATCCAGCATTAGTTTTTTGTTCATATTTTGGTCCCTCGGCCAAATAAATTAATCTTCTGAAATTTGTGTGGGTTTTTTTTATTTTGGGTAACATCAGAAGCTGTGCTATTGGATGTGTAGAGAAATTTTCAATAGATGCTTTCATACGCTTAAATATTTAGAAGTTTCTTTTATATAACATTCCTTAGTAGCATTATGGAAGACTAATCCAGAAGAAGAGAGTGGCTCTCTGCAGTCTTCCAGATACCTTTGATAACAAAATTCATCCCTTGGAGAAGATTAAGCAATCTAGACTAGTGGTTTAAAAAGAATTGAATTTGCAACCATATAGGTCGAAAAAGTAGCAGTAGTATTTACCACAGGGGTGGTGTCAGCTTTTGGCAGTGTAGATACTTAAGTGCATTGTTGTGACAATCCTACATGCTTGTACAAATAATGTGAGCATCTAGAAGTCTTTGAAATTATAGTTTTCTGAAGAAAGCTCTTACACAAACATAACATGGTATGTGATAATTGTTAATAGCTGTAGATAGTGACTTACAGTGAAAATCATTATTACTAGAAATTGACATTATTATTGAAAATTTAAAATAATTAACTGTAATTATTTGGTTATCTAGGTATCGTTGTCAGCATCAGAACCTATTACAAAAGTTTTATCGAAGTCTTCACAACCTGCAGCTCCTCAGAAGGTACGGTCAATAATTGCTCCTAAAAAAGAGAAAGACAAAAAGAAAGAGAAACAAGAACCCCTTTCCCGTGGAATTAAAATGATCATCTCTGTCTAAGAGATGTGTCCCTGGGCTCATTTGTTCAGATGCTTTCCTGTGAAGACTTTCATAACCTGTGAAGAATTTCTGTTTGAGTCTCGATATCATACCTGCACTTTTGGTGGCATGGACTTGATAGATTATAAATTTACAGATACTTTTTCTTTTGTTTGTTGCATTGGTCAAAATATTGCTGTTTTGTAAAACCCCCCAGTCTAGAGGTAAAAAAAAAAAAAGAGAAAACTTCAAAGGATATTAAGCACATACTTTTAATGTTAGGTAATATTTAATACCAACAAGAATGCTAATTTGGCCTCATAAATATCCTCAATTTTTATTACAGGTTGGAGTTTCTGTTGTGAAAGAGAAGCCTAAAGGCAAAGGATCAGTTGATACCTTACCAGCAAATGTGGAAGAATGGGCTCATTATGACTGTCCCAATGAGATCAGAGATACTTTTAAACAGAAAACAAATAGTTATGGTATTAACTGGGATAATTTCCCCAAACCTGTAAGTATACTCCTCAAAATTCTAGAGCATTTATTATTTAGGAAAAAAAATGAGTAGCAGGGAACTATGTTGCATTTTAACTTTTCTGTCTGTGTGATGAAGAGTGTTCAGATAGCTGTCAGAAATACTTCCATGTCTTAGTATTCGTTAGTACTTCAAAAGTGTTAGTCTGTCCTGTGTTCTGCAATGAACTTAACTCACAGAATAAATTTACTGACTTTCTATGTACCTAGCTGCATTTTCAACTTGAAATTTGGTTAAATTTTTTTTTTGTAAAGTTTTTAACTGAAGATGTAATGATGAATTTAGAATTTATTCTCTACAAAATGATGTTTATATTGATGGCATTAAAAAAAATTTCTTTTCAGACTTGCACTTTGTATTTTATGGACCTTTTATCTAAAGAACTACAGAAAATCTTTTGCCCCCACTTGATTCTTCCCATCTTTCAGCTAGCTGAAGTTATTGCTAATGAAGTTGTGGAATGTAGAAGTCTCTCTGATCTCTATCACCTTCGGTTTGTATCCTTTATTTATTTTAAATAAAAGAGAAACTGAATGGAGTGGGCCATCCATTAATATTTCACTAAATAGTAACAAGGCCTTTTGTGCCTTACTGTTTTAAATTTATAATGTTTTTATTTTATTTTGGGGTTTTTTTATACATTTTACTACTTTGACAAATTGGTTTGCTTGTGGAATTAAAACCACTAAGTTTAGCTGTTAATAAACATTGTGTCCATGAGGATGGGTGTGCAAGATTATGAACTCAAGCCACATTCATGTGAATAATTTTTGTAATGCCTTATAGTAACTTAACTGGAAAAAGAAAAGTAAAGAAAAATTTCAATAAAAGTGTTACCTTTTAAGTATTGAAAAGGCAGACTCCCATCTTGCATCAAAAATGTGTTGTCTTTGGCTTAAGAACCCAAGTAAGTATCTTCAATAGGTGCATTCTCTTTTATAGAGATTTGCCTTTGTGGCCAAAATTCTGTTACTTTTATGGATGATTAGCCTGAAAAGTTTTGATTCAAAAATATTTAATATGCGTGCAATGGCAAATTATTACTGTTTGAGTTAAAACATTTCATCAGGCTTTTTTGAAATGTATTACCTAATGTTTGCATAATAATTAACAGTTATAAGCAGCACTTGTTTGCTTAATTCCCGATAATTTGTGAAATGCCACATAATGTATTGTGAAAATGCCTGAAACTGATCCCACGTAACAGGACAGATAAATGTTCATGTATACAAATGTATGTGTGTTCACCTGGATTGCCAGTTGATTACTGAGTTACTGTCTTAAAAGGCTAAAAGTGATATACTAATAGGAAATTGATTTGCAGCCAAGCTTTGCCAGACAAATTTTTTTGTTGACTTCTCAAGATTTGTTTTTATTTCGTGGTATTTTCTTTATATCTGCGACCTGATTTTTATATACGATCAGATAGGTGTATATGAATATATAGGAATGTAGGTTAGCACATATACATGTATGGGGTTTTTTGCATGCTGTAGTGAGACGATACTGTAAATATTTTCGTACTTTTACCACATCATTTTTGCTACCAAATTGGGGACATATGAGTGTGGTGGATGGACTGGGGATACTAGTGGATGCCCCATCACTGGAAGTGTTCAGGGTCAGCTGGATGAGACTTTGAGCAACCTGACCTAGTGAAAGATGCCCCTGCCTGTGGCAGAGGGGTTAGACTAGATGATCTTCAAAATGTGCCTTCCAACCCAAACCATTCCATTATTCTATGACGTCTATCAATGGGTAGTGTCAACTACTCCTTTTACCCCTTTTTTTAATTTAAAATTGTTGTTATTGCCAATATTAATCAAGACATAAGAAGGTAGGATTGACAAATATGGAATATATGCTCATTATATACAATGCGTTTATATAAAGCAACATATGATTCTGATTGTTTCTTAAGCATTTTTCCTTTTTATTCTTAGAATTGCCCTGATATGTTCAGACCTAAAACTGAGTGAGGCGTCTTCGTATCATGAGAAAGCTGCTGGAGAACCATACCTTAGTGAATTAGAACAAGCAATGTATGTATTTTCACTAAAGAGGCTGTATTTAGTTGGGGTTTTTTCCCTTCAGTTGATAAGTGTTGTTGAAGGAAAACAAATTATTAAAAACCATGATCTCCTAAAACAAATTTGGTATATTAGCCGTGCCCTAAAATTCTGTGCATGATTGTTTTGTATCTATCCACAGAGTAAGTGTATGGCGAAGATGCCCAACACACTAATACTTCATTATGAAATACTTTTGAAATATACTTGAATTTACTTATTCTTTCTTGTGATTTAGGTGTAGGCAAGAGATTGCACTGAAAAAAGAAAAAAAAGTACATACTAAGACAGAAGAAAGAACAACATTTTTTGAACATACTCAGCTGAATGGTACTAGGGATGAGAATATCCTTAGTTCAAGTGAAAAGGTGTTTATTTCTACTCCAGTTTCTTTAATAAATTGCTCCTCACATTTTAATATACTTGCTAGTTTGTTTTAAAATAATTTTATGCTTGAGAAATACATGAATGCAAAAATCATTATAAAACCCTTACTACTTAAATTCTACTGGCAGGCATCAGATGAGTATGAGCTGGGTTTGCCTAGCGTATTACTTGTGTTGTGGAACAACAAGAATAGAATCTATATTCATACAAAGTAAAACTGCTTTTCTACAAATGGAATTTAGGACTGGAGCAAATCAATGGAAAAGACTGAGAAGCACAAAAAGACATTTTATTCGCTCTTGGTCTCAGTTTTCTCTTCTTCCTCTCTCCATTACCTCACTGCATACTGTTTTGCTCCATCTTACACATTGTTTTAAAGGCAGGCAAATATTTCAACTCCGTCTTTTCTGTCTCTTCTTTCAGAAGATGATTACCTTACTGATACTCTCAAAGCTTACTTCCACTTTCCTCTTTATTATGGCAATTCTGTCCTTGTTCTCATCATACCGCTTCACTCTCTTTGTATATTTTTCCATTCTTGTGCATGTAAAATATCTGTTTTTTCCTAATTACTGATCCCTCTTGAGTATCCTCTTTTATCTCTTGTGAGCAGTTTTTCTCTTTGGTTGTTTTAGTTATTACCAAGAATCAACTTTACGACAGTAGCAGATCTGAAGTAGTTGATCTGTTCTAAAACTAGTTTTAATAATATGTACTTATCAGTTGAATGCCTTTGGAGGATTCTGAAGTCCAAATATCACAGTAAACCTGTTTTTCCTGTAATGTAACCTTGAATTTCAAAAGTTAGAAAATAGAGCTGGACTGTGGGATATATCAAGAATTTAGTATCATAGTTAATAATTTGTATTCCATCTAGTTTAGTTTTGAAATTTGTGAAGGGGTAATATTTTGTTATTTTTCAGGTTTTTGAGTTAAATACAGTAACAGGAAAAGGACTGAGTCCACTTTCTTTCCCTTACTTGTGGATAGAAAAAGCTGAAGTACTAATTCAGCTAGGCTTGTATCAACCAGCAAGACTTCTGCTTTCAGAGGCCCATGCTGCAACTCAGGTACATCACAAATAAAACAGAAAAATTAATGAAACATCTAGGAAAAATGTTCATTTTGATGCCGTCATTCCTCATACTAATAATCAAATTGCAAAACCAAACCTTCCCCTCACTCCCCCCCCTCAACCTATTTAATTTGAGTTTCAGCATATATAAGGCATATATTTAAATATATGACACTTAAGTCCAACTTTATGGGAACTATCTGAAGATTTCAACTTGGGAAGTAGTGTCAGCAACTCTGTCTGCTTTGCAGTGACCTTGGAAGATGTATGTATATCCAAACTTTGTTTGGTAAAATAGTTTAGAGATGTTCAAGATTTGCTCATAAGAGAGAGAGAGCATTTAGCTCCATCCTCTCAACATTTTGATCATTTGAAAATCTCGTTATATAATTTTGAATTTCATTGTGGTTTTACTGCTAATTGTGTTTTGATAAACAGCCACTGACACTGAAATTATAATTTAGAATTCTGGCAGATCTGAAATAAGTGTCTGTATGTTCTACGAAAACAAATCTCATCATCTCATTATTATGAAGGGTTTACATTAAAGATATTCTTCCTATATCTACCGTTCTCCATTATAGCTCTCTTCTTGGTTATATGGGTTTCTGAAACATAATTATTGCAATAAACCTTTACTTTTAAAAAAATGTAATTGTTATCCTGTTATTCCTCATAACGCTTTTTCTCACGTAAGTAAAAACTGCCTATGTATATTTCGTGTGAATCATGAATACTTTGAATACTAATATATTAGCATAGTATATTAATTAATAATATATGTCTCTTATTAAAGCATGAATTTAGTACTGTACATTGAGAAAAGTTCAAAAGACATTAGGGAGGACAATAATTTGACTGATATAATTTCTTACTAGTGTTCTATATGTCTGTATGCTAGTATACTGTCTATACTGCACCCTGGATTTGTCTCTTGTATACTACTAGTATGTAGTTTATAACTAGCATAAAGTAGCATTGTAAATTTACTGGAGCTCTAGTGTATTTCGATCTCAGTTTACTAAAAAATTTTTCATCACCACATTTCTTCATCAGATACTGACAAATGGCAGCAGATATCTACATACTAAATAATAGCAGAAAAATAGCTTATTTAACTCGTGGGGCAGAAGATATGGGAACGTAAATACAAAGTATATTGGAAGATTTGAAGTTCTTGAAAATAAATAAGTAATAAAAGGAGTAACTAAGAAATTCTACAGATAATTGAGGAAATACCATTTGCTTCTTATTTCTGTGCCTATTCATAAGTTTAATCTAAAATATGAATAGAAGCAAATATGAATAGCAGTAATGGATCTTTTGTATCTAAGTCACATATATTTCTTCCAGGAATTGGGGGCCCTGTATGGTGTGTCAAGGTGCTTGTACTTATTTGCTGTGTTGGCTAACCGGGAAAGAAACCACGGACAAGCTAAAGCACTCCTTGAGAAAGCGCAGCTTCTAGGAGGAAATGAACAATTTTGGTACAACAGTACTCTCAGTCTAATAGAAGCAATTCTAGGGGAAGAGGGGGAAGGAAAACAGAGCATGGTAAGGAAGTGGTTTTATTTTGGTGGCTGTTTTTTTTT